GCTTAATTCTTGAATTGCTTTACCGACAAGAATATTACCTTTACCCGTGAGCATCCTTACATTGCTTGTGTGGGTTGGTTGTGCCCAAGGTGTGGACTGAACACCGTGACAGGACAGGAGCAATCAACTTCATCACTGGGGCAGGGGGTTTCTTGCAGGCAGTGGTGAATGGATTTGCAGGAATTCGTGTTTGCACACCCGCCATCTCAGGTGTCAATGTTCCAGCGCTCTTCATCAACCCGAAGTTGGCGATTCCGACGTTGTCGGAGAGGGAGCCAGAGAAGAATGTCCTGCACATCCGCGGAATCTCGTTCCTCGGACGCAAACTGGACGTGTCCCTGAACGGCATACTTCGCGTGGTCACGATCACCTTGGAATCGGGCAACCCGTTGGTCGTGATCCGAGCCAATCCCGATGATCTCTCCGTCGTTAACACGCAGTGCCCTAATTGGACGTTAGACGACGTCCATAACTGCCAGGAGTTGCAGTATTTGTCGTACTGGTTGGTGGAGGAATTCCAACCACCCCTTGCTGATCTTTTTTTACCCTGATGCTTTTCTCAGAATATCTTAAATTTAAACATTCAGACTGACTTAATTGGTACTTTTTTTTGCTTCATTATTGTCTTTAGTAGTTGGTACATTGAAAATGTTTTGCAGTCGTTGTCATGGTTGTCGTTTTGCTTGGAATTCAGCACACGGTACTCCCCTGGGGTTATTGTTTATTCATGTGGAGGAATCCCGTATTCCTTTGCATATCCACCAATCACACACCAACACATACACGCACGCATCGGCACTTTCATTGGATGCGAAAATAAGCTTTTGTCATTGGTCCTGCTCTACCACTTTAACGCTACCAGATTCTTTTGCATAGGTTATCTTAGGGAAGTACTCTGATTAACTCCTCCAAGCCAATGCCAGATGCAAGCTATGTGTAAAATTATGTTTGTCCAACATAGGGAGTTGTGATAACTAACGTTTCAGCGGTGTTTATCTGCGGCCTGAACACTAAGATTCGCTATGAATTGTGTTGTGGGGCCCAGCATGTGGTCTTGAACCACGCCGGGGCCACGGAATAAACCCTGGCCCGATTACGCTTGCCTGACACCCGCGATGAAGAAGAGGATCGGAGAGGACGTGATCACAACCGTTGTGTCGTGTGCTGTGTTTGCGCGTGTGTATTTATGCCTCGAATGTGTGAGTCATACATGCACTAACATCGAGACCTAGGTGTGAGGATAATCCAGGGTGAATATCCGTGCTAATGAGGAGGGAGTTGAGGATCCACGCGGCCGGCGACATGCTGCGAAAAGGGGAACCCTGTGTTAAAGGTGGAGCGACCGGCTTAAGGGGTGTGAATAAACACGAGTCATAACAGTTGCTTGAGTTTTTTTGAGGTGTAAATAGGAGGGCGTTGTCTTGAGGAATCAATTCATTCGGACGCCATAGTTGATCCCTTCCCGCTTGAGAAAGTGATCCGGCACTGTTGAGGCAACCACTATCCAACCTTGACATCTGTCTAAACACATCACCTTAGACACATTCTTGTTCTATTTCCTTCCAAAATGACCGTTTTAGTGAGAGCCGATCTTTCAAATGTTGGATCTCTAGGTACGTGCGGTGTGCTTATGACCAGTGAGCTAAATGATCCGGTAAGGTATATTCTAGTCGATTTTAAGCAGTGCGCGTATTCAGAACACGTTAACATTCACACCATCTTGTCCTCAGGGTGTGTGCAACGAGGAGAGTAGTTGAAGCCAGCCTTTTCCCAAACCGCACCGTTTATTGCCATTTTAGTGAAGAATACGTCTTCCCTGCATACATTTGCCGAGTTGACTATGTGAAAGTTTTCCTTACGATTACAAAACTCGTGATTGCTTCAGATGCCTCTCACTAGCCTAATTCAACGTCTGTGGACGTGGTTCATATTTGTAAATATGAGATTTGACGAGCGTTGGATGAGGGTTATTGATATAAACGTTGTTTATTCTTGCGATGGGCTCTGATGAAAGTTCTTACAGATTATAGGCTTTGTTTAAAGTGAGTTTACTACACTCGCGCAAATCAATCAAGCCAATCAATTCCCCTGTGATTGTGACTGCTCACGGTAATCAAACATTGCCCCCTACCTACCGCCATCTGGATCGCAGTCCAGTGAAACGGACGCAATCCTGGGAGGCATTTTGTGTGACTCAGAGGCCTAATTGATCTGGGAATGAGAAGACCTCTTATTGGTAAAGAAGAAGGCAACTCAACGAAGAGACCTCTACGTGCGATTGATTTAAAGTAATCGTTGTGGCCTGACTTGATGTTTCTTTTTTACGCATCTGTTTGTGCATTTGTGGGCATAAAACGTTTTAGCCATCCAAGGTATACCTCTCCCATCATGTTTTCTAGTACATACCTTTAACTCCTTTTAAAACTGTGCGCTTAAACGGGGTTAGCTTTTGAACTAATCAACGTTATCACATCGTCTGCTTCAGGAATTCAACAACCTCGCCTCAATTCCAGTGCGCCTTTCCTATTCCATTGATCTTAGTAGGCCGTTAAGTTGGATAGATCGAATATCATCTTGTAACTCGCTTGCTCCTATCCAAAGGCAGTCACGAACAGCCTGAATTTCTTGGCTTCGGAATCCAAAATTAGAAAATCTTACAATTTCCGTTCCTTCATTCCTAATCTCCAGGTACTTACATTCGGCGAAGTATGAATTGACGGGTTCACATGCTTGCCAAGGGTAACTGCAAACGGATTCATGTTATAGCTCGCTTTAATGGGTCTGATTCCAAAGTCCTTTTAAGCAGCCACAGTATTGATTTAAAACCGGTCACTCCGTGCTTAATTTAAGTTATTTTAACCTGGCTTCACACGATCTAGCACTTCAAATTGGTGCTAAAAAAGCTTAATGTTTAGAAGCGCATTGAATTTTGGAGAAGGCCTTATCAAAGAGGAAATGTGATATGATCCCAAATATCGATTAGATCAGTGGTCGAGTAAAGGTAGAAGTTGTGGACACCAGAAAGGTAAGAGGATAATAAGAAAAAGTGTGATTTACACGCTTTCAAACAAAACATTGACCGTTACAACTTTCCCCTCATCAAACACCCCAAGTGTGTGATGATTTAGATAAATACATACCTTGTTTAAACGTCGACAAGTGCTTGTTTAGGCTAAAAAACGTGCAGTTACCGCGTGATGCTGTGTGCGCGAATTAGCATGTGACTCAGACACCGTCATGTCGGCCCAATCATTTCATCGAAAACCTGTTCATCCCTTTGCTGAATCAGTTTGAAGTGCGGTTTGTTTTATAGTCAAATTCGGCATACATTTTCAGACAACGCTATATTTTAGCCAGTAAAATACGTTAAAATTGCCTATGTTGGTAAATAGATTTGAATTAATCGTTGTAATGTGCATGTTGTTTAAATTAACCAATGCGTTTGCTGCGTAACGCCTCGGATATTTTGATTGGGTGAGCAGGTGTTCGCAGTGGAATAACGGTGCCAGAATCAACTAACATCCTTTTGTGTCTTCAGTTACCCGTTTTGACGAAAAACACAAATTCCAAGTAAGGCAAGGAGTTTTCCTTGAACCTGATTGCAGGCAAAAGAGGTTGCACAGGAACGGATTTGATAGAAGTGTCGATGACATTCCGATCCTCTCACAGGAATTGTCTTCATCTGCGGGGTCTACCGTTGTCACCTAGTTCAATTAACTCAGCATCCGGATTCATGACACACTGTTTGCCGTGGCATTCATATTCCCGGGGACATTGGCTACAGCTTGGCCCAGCGATGTAGGGCCTCTTTTCACGACTATTCCTCCTAAAAACAAAATGATATCACACTAGTAAGGTATAAAATAATCGCCCTACTGCAATTTATGAGTATGCATGAGTTTTTTAGATATTTATGGGATCATAAATGGTAAGTTGACTCACCCGGGTCGGTATAAGCAGGTCACGATGTAGACGGGTTTGCTCCAAGATGGCTTGACGTGGTCACAGCGCATCATTGCACAACCCAGCCTTACTGATTTTGCCCACACCATCTTCAGATTAAAAAAAAGTTTTAAGAATTCCGTTTAACGACATGATTTTAGACTGAAACAAAGAACTGCCAAGATATAACTTCGTAGATCTAGTTTACTGACAGGGATGCTAATGTGGCGGCTACATACAGCCTGGATGTCTTCCTTTGCCACGCTAACCAATGCCGTTAGGGTGAACTATAAAAAGTGGCTGATTTATAATTGACCGATTGACGTGGTCGGTGTAATTGATAATGTGGCGTGGAAAATACACGCGGCTTACCTGCAAGTAACCTCCGCAATAGTCTTCACATGTGTTGTTTGCAAAGTGATAGGTCTTTCCTTGGTCGTACCAAGTGTGGGCTGCGTCCACAAGTTCCGGTTTGCTGCCTCCAATTAGTGTTAGTAGTTGTCCTACACCGCGATATTTAGGGTAGATGTTCAAATTGGGATACTCAAATCGGCAGAGCTTCACCCAATCAACCGCGAGCTTCTCCAGCGACAGCGAATATTCCTAAATCAGGCAAGGGTGCATTCAATCGAGTAAACTCCAATCACAATCACAACAAAGCAAGCTCGCAGTTGTGGTAAACGAGTCTGATCACCAAATGGATCCATTCAGTAGACACCTCTACTCACCATCATTTCCATGTTGCTAGCAGGTGGCTGGACGTTTTCGCGCACACTGTGATGAACCTTAAGGATGGCATCACGTTCTGCCTGTGTTGGCGCCTGAGCCAGAACATGAGATATCATAGCCAGTATGCAAAACACTTTTTGCATAGTTTCTGAAGTAGATGAACGGTGAAACCATGAGTGGAAAAGCATGATTAAATCGATGAGAATCAAAACCATTTTTTTTAATTATTCTCCAAGTTAAAGAATACACTTTGCACAATGAGCATATTCTTCCAAGTTTTATACTGTTCTCACCTCAACACGACCTCCTCAACCTTGCGTGACCTGTAGGTATGCACCACCAGTGCTAGCCAAACGCAGGCAGGTTTGTCAATAAACGCGCCATTTCAACGCAACCACCAAATTAAATGCAGAAATACAAAATAAGTGGATGGGCCAAATGGCATTGATTGTGACCACAATGTCGCACAAAAGCAATGCAAGCGTTAGAGTGAGAAAGGTGGCATTTGGAATGCAGAATGCATGATAGAATAACAAAACGGCATGTCGTGTTGCGTGTTTATTCAAGCCCTTAGTCCTGTCGCTCCACCTCCGACACAGGGTTCCCCTTTTCGCAGCATGTCGCTAGCCGCGTGGATCCTCAACTGTCCCCTCATTCCGACGAATATTTATCTTGGATTATTCTAACACATAGGTCTTGATGTTAACGCATCTGTGACCCACACATCCAAGGTATAAATACACGCACGCAAACCCCATACAGGACATAAAGACACCAACGTGGTTGAGTTCTGAAGTAAACGGTAGTGTCCATGTACTCTCCGGTCATTTTCCTTCATCGCGGGTATCAGGGAAGCGCAATCGGGTCAGGGTTAATTCCGTGGCCCCGGCGTGGTTCAAGATCACATGCTGGGGTCCACAACAAGTACTATTTAGTGCATGCACACTGCCATTGTTTTGTAAAACTCTAAAGTAAAATTAGTTAAAATTGGTGCACTTTGTTCGATTAGTGTCGATTTGAGTGCATTTGAAGTACGTTTCTGTTGGGGATCCACGATTCCCCAAGATTGGTTTCTGATTTTATTTACATTAATTTATTAACATTTGTTTTTTTACGCTTTTATCAAGTCAAGGTCAACCTTGACTTGAGATAGCTTTCAAATTACTTTCGATTTCACTTCTTCTCTGCACGTGGCTCATGTGAATAAAGTTCTCTACTCGAGCTCTGTTCTTGTTCTGGTATTAGCCTGGGAAGGTCGGTTCTAGCTTTCAGCAAGGGATCTGGTACCGTTATTTGAGTGGTATTCTCTATTGTTACGGGCAAACGTAACAGTTTCATTCGTGACTATTTAGTGATCTGCTGACGTAATTACGGTGTCCAAAAAAGAACAAGAATCTTGCATCGTGTGTCTCAGAAAAGTGACGTTTGACCTCATGTACTTTGTCTGTGGTACCACTCACATTTTTAGGTGTTAAGGTCAATGAAAACTGTTTCAACACGTTCTCAAGTAATCGCAACACTGCTGCCTCTAAATTGCGTGATCAGTGTGTTCTACAACTTGCGAGTCATGTGAAATCAATTGGACGCGTAATTGGGTCGCACATTTTTACTAACTTTAAAATTTCACCACTATAATTGGTGGGGTTTTTGCTTTTGCCTATTGGGTGAAAGTAGATAAGCAGACGTTAATTAAAAATATCCGTGTGTTATTTTATGGAACCTAAAAGAATCGCGTAGTCGTGGAATACAATTGCTTTCCACTTATACCCGAGAGGGCCGACGTTTTACAAGGTCATTCGCTTTAAAGCCAACCAATCACAACCAGATAGTGTCATACAGCGTTGAAACTCACTTGAAGCATGAAAAATGCTAAGGAAGGAAGGGCCATTATTATTGCAATTTCACAGAAAACGAAAGCAAATTTAAACAACCACAGAATTTCAATAACCAAATGCGTCATCAGTCACCTTGAGCAAATACCCCACTGTTGTGGCATTATGGGAAATTAATTTTTATTACAAACCTGATAAATGTTGGTAGTTAGGGAAAAAACGTTTTGCAGTTAACCTTGATGTGTGCAAAAATGATTTATTTCTAGAAATCGACCCTTTACAATCCCGGGAAAATGTTTAATGAGACGCACATTCTAGATATTAGAGGGAATTGTTATCTGATTGTCTCCAGACGTCGACAATGCTTCACAAATCTTATTGTCTACTTATTTTGATTTGTGAGTAATAATATTAACCTGGTGCACCAGCTTACGAGGGGAATATCGCGGGGCGAAATCTTCAGAATTAACAAAAATCCCACAAGCTTGCGCAATCAAGCAGCCCACTGGCTTTGTACAGTTAAGTAATCTGATTTTGCGTTGGAATTTAAAGTAGATGCGCCACAATGAGTAGTAAAGTTGTTCATAATTGATGAAATAATGCAACATTTCCGGGTTCTCGATGACATAATGCGACAGCAAAACATCTCCTTACAGAACGCTAGTTAGTACATGCATGACTCTGTGCATTGCTGGTGATTGACAAATTTGATAGAATTAGGAGTGTGCCTATCAAATCGTTTCGAAAACCTATTCGACCGATTCGACCAATCAAAACACCGTTGATGGGTTGCTATGCATGTCATTGGGCCTAAAATCTTGCCTAGAAATCTAGAATTTGACTCAAGTGTTACAGCAAAGAAGCATATTGAGTAGTAGGTGTTAAAAGCAGCACAATCTGTTTCAACGACTTTGTGAACTTGAGAATGCGTATTCAATGTGATTTGCTATGACTTTATTTGCCTTGTATCTATAAGGACACTTTGTGTCAGCTGAACACATGGTTTGAGTAATAAATGGGATGTATTGGGTTTTCGTTACATTAGGCAAGTAGAGATTACTGTTTTTAACAAATTCTAGGTAACTGGTAGATATTTAAACGATTTCTTGGTTAGCAGCAAGGCTGTAAGGTAGTGACAGCAAACGACTAGACAACATTTACGTTTGCCCTAGTCGTGTCAGGCAATCTTTACATTTTCTGAAGAAAATTAATTGAATTTGTGATAATGATGGTCATTCTGGTTTTACATTTAACCCATCGTTGTCGTAATTCCCAGACCAATTCACTGTGAACTACTTTGAATTCTGTTAGATAGGTGAACAGTTATCACTACCTCACAGACGCCAATCCTGTTCGTGTGTTATGAAACGAAGGCGAGGTTTAGCAATCTGGCAAAGTTTGGAAAAGTAATCGAAAAAGCGAATAATAATAATGTTAGGAATCAGAAGTAGAAAATAACTAAACAGATTTATTCAAACCTGATTACAAGAAAACTGACGGGTTTGAAAAAGGGAGGAATGTTAGTCACGACTTAATAGTGCCCTCATCGTTCAAGTTCATCGTCGTCACACGGCTCAGCGATTTCGGGATCCGAATTCATGACGCATTGATTGCGGTAGCATTCATAACCAGACGGGCATCTGCTGCAACTGGGTCCGGCTTTGTAGGGCTTTCTGTCCGGCCATTTTGCCCTTCAAAGTAGTAATTGACGAGTCATTGATTAAAACAAGAAAAACCCTTTTTAAGAAAATACATTTTTGCGTATTAATGCTCACCCACGTCGATAGAAACAGGCAATGATGTGGACGGGTTTCCTTCTAGGCGGTATGGTTTGATCACAGCACGTCACTGCACAGCCAAGCTTCGTCGATTTTGCCCAAACCATCTTCGGATCAAAAAAGTTGCGATCAAATATTCTTAAAGCATGCATCATTTGATCTACAAGATGATTAAATCCGGCTTTGTCACGATGAAAATGCTTGACTCACCTGGATGTAGTCATCGCAGATGCCTTCGCATGTGTTGTTTTTGAAGACGTAATTCTTTCCTTCTTCGTACCAACCCTGCACTATATCCACCAGGTTTGGGTTGTCGTCGACAACGACCGATATTGCCTGTCCCGTGCCCCGATACTGCGGGTAAAGGTTCGGATTGGGACGTTCCAGAAGGCAGCGCTGTACCCAGTCAATCGCCAACTTTTCCAGCGACATCGAATATCCCTAAAGTGTATTCAAAATTAATTGTCTTTATAAGAATCACTCGCTACAACAAAAATCGATAAGATAGGCTGAATCAGCTGTCGCCTGAATTTCTAAATGACCTATATATCCTGGCTACTTCCTGAATTACAAATCATTCCTGTGAAGTTTTCTAGCAGTATAAGTTAACCATCGATGGGTCTTACGGTTAACTCCATCCTTTTATGCGACATCTTCACTAACCATCATTTCCATGTTGCTAGCAGTTGGTTGGACGTTTTCGCGCACACAGCGATGAGCCTTTAGAATGGCATCACGTTCCGCCTGCGTTGGCGCCTGAGCGAGAACATGAGATATCAGAGCCAGAATGCAAAGCACTTTTCGCATGGTTTCTGAAATAGATGACAAATTGTCAACATTTCAGGTAGCTACTGTGAGACATTAAAAGTTATAAATGAAACAGTATGTAGAGAGGAAAAGGCGGAGTTATATCTGGTATATGGTATATGCGGGGATGTTTACACGGATACAGAAATATCAGAAATAGATTGCCAAAGTGATCACAGGTCTTGTGAGTTGGCCTAATTTATACTGGTGTTACCCCACGGCGACCCCTCTTCACTGCTTCTGTAGATCACTACAACCAATCACATTCAGGCTTGTTCATAAATCCTCGTATTTCATTGGTAAAATTAACAATTACCTATCTCATAAGCAAAATTTTGCATATCACTTTAGTTCACACATTTTTAATATTTAAATTCCGGATATTTTGACAAAAAAATGATTAAAATAAACATGGATTTTGCCTGAGAGAAGAAAAGGTTTTTAAAACGAGTAATGGGATTGATTAAGCATGCCAATTTTCTTAGAAAATCAGACTGGCTGTACACGTGTATCCCGAATTTTCGATTTTTAACAAGGTATTAAGGGCCCCGGCAAGTTGGCTTTAACCACGGTACCCAGATTAAAGATGAAGATGAAGAAACCCGGAAAGGGCGAGGCACAACCGTTAACTAGACAGCTCAGTGAAGTTGCATTAGCGTTTGTGTATGTTAAAATTTGAGCATAGCTCACTTATTTTGCCGACTGATCCGGTAGAGTGGACCAGTGGAAATACAGACGTCTGAAAGGTCACACGAATAAAGCGGGTGGTGGTGGTAGCACGCCGTAAAAAGGGGGATGTGTGTGTGAGGCTACGACGACCGGATTACTGGACGCTAACCAACCGGACTCATTAAAAAGGAAAGACATAAAAATGTTTGGTGCACTTGTTTAACGATGAAGTCTTTCGCTGATTTAATAGGCAATCATATCTTGAGGGTTAATACAAATGCTAAAGTTTTCAGTACGGGATATCGCGTACCTCATTGGATTAGTCTCCAGGCAACGAACATCCACAACATTTCACCACACTGACGATGGTTCTTCCAGCCATCAAGATGGAAGATAAGGTCCGTTGAATCCGTATTCAGCTCGCCTACGCAAGACGTGCTCAAGTTTGTTCTCAAATGTTCTCATTCAACATGACCAAATGTTCCTTAAACGCACCTCGCAGTGATTTTTATTGAGTGAAATGCACGTCAGGCGTTACTTTATATACTGACGCCTTGAAACACACTAAACAGCCGCCGGTTGACTGATTTGACAAAAGGTTAAGTCCCTCCCATTCTTCCTTATCTAATTTCTTTCTTGACCTTGCAACAACAATAACTACATTGCATTATTTGACTTAGCCAAGTACAGATTGACCTCATCCATTCTGTTCATGGTTCCATGAAAATTTTTAGGTTTTTGAAATTAGTGTAAACCGTTTCAACATGTTCATACGTAATGATGACCCAGTTGCCTTTAGATTGCGTGATTAGATTTTTTTAATGTTGGGGTCATATAGTGTCAATTGGAAACATGTTTCGGCTCATTTAATGCCTTGCACACTTGTCGTCTTTGAAACACTTTTTAAAATGACACTTTGCTCCTGCATTTATTAGTTCTTGTTAACGCTATGCGGGTGTGTCAGTCATGAGAATAGGCAGATGGATGAAATGACGTCTTAGATAAGGCCACCTTTTATAGATTCAAGTTACTCTTTTACACAAACCAATGAAATTTAAACACGCATGCACGGACGTCTTAATTAATTAAAGTTGCATTTTAGTTAGTTAGTTAGTAACAGGGCTAAATGCTAGTCGTCGGAAAATGAAACTACTCCATTTATAGTCTAAGCAATGGAGAGAATAATAGCGTCGTTGTAGCTTGAGTTATTTACAAAAACGTCTATTTGTCGTCTCAAAGTTAGACTTGTCTTCATCGCCATTTTACTCATGGCGACATTGTTAAACAAAAATGGATATTAATACAAACAGGTAATTTTGCAACTGTTTTGCCTTAATATGTGTCCCCAAGTTCTGTAAGTAAGACAACGAGAGAGGAGGTTTGGTTTGAAATTACGAAGAGCGAATTTTTACATCAAACTCAGAAGTGGACATCGTCAAGAAACCAGGGTTTGGTCTGTTGCATTAAACACTTTTTTAATCCATAACTAGGCATGCGCAATAGAAACTAGACTTTCTGTGATTTCAATTATTTGGTGAAATTACGTGCTAATACAATGCTTGTTGTGTTACGTCAGGGCCCTCTCTATACCCGTATTGTTAACCAACTGAGCGCTATCAATAAATTTCCCTAGCTGCATTATCTGAGATAACCCCTCTCATTACACACCCATGCGGTCCTCAGATGTTGCTTGCTACCTTTGAGCTTGTGCTTTGTGATTGGATGAGGGCAGATGTATTTTTGACACAATTTCTATTATCCTGTGCCTCAGGGATTTTCCCTTCTTGCTGTGGCTACCATAAAGGGGCGTAGTTGAGGAAATTAAAACAGAAATACGATTGTCGTACTCAGTGACTTTGAGAAAATATTTAGTTTGAAGCATTAGTGTATTGTTCTATGTAATGTTCACGCAAATGTTACGCACTTGATTTGTGTTTCCATGCAAATTTCTTTCAAATATGTGCGACTGTGTCTTCTGGGTGAATTTGCTAAACGTTTTACAATGCGGTTTTAAACTGTTAACTTCCATGCATCATGAAGCCTTTCAGGATTTATTATTGAAGTACAAATGTAACGTTTTTGAATGATTAGTGAGTGCATTTTAACAACTTCTATGAATTTGCAAAAATATTGGACATGATGGTTCCCTTTTCTGCATAATTGAGTCTATAAGGAGTCATCCTTGTCCAGTAAAAATGTTGTGGGCCCAAGCATGTGGTCTTAAACCACGCTGGGGCGACGGAATCAACTCTGGTCCGATTACGCTTCCCTAATATCCGAAAAAGGCCGGAGAGGACGTGGACACAACCGTTTACTTCATAGCTCAACCACGTTGGTGTCGTTGTGTCATGTGTGGTGTTGGCGCGTGTGCATTTACAGCTCGGATGTGTGAGTCATACATGCGCTAACATCGAGACTTAGGTGTGGGGATGCTCCAAGATAAATATTCGTGTTAACTAAGGGGGAGTTGAGGATTCGTGCGGCTGGCGACATGCACCGAAAAGGGGAACCCTGTGTAGGGAGTGGAGCGATTAAGGGGTTGAATCGACACGGTTCACAACAGCTCTCCACCTTAGCGAGAGGATTTGGCGAGCCTTATCGTCCACTGGAGTTTTGAAGGGTAGGCCGTAGGTCTCGCGTGATTGGGATGTGGCTGTCGATGTGGGTCGGACTGAGAATTCTCTCTCCCTTAGCAAGATAATTCACCCAAACCTTTCCTTCAAATGCGGATTCTTAAAGTTAGGCCGTAGGTTTCTGCAGTCGAAATGTGGCCCATGTGAAAGTAGAAATGAGGCGGATTGTCGTGCGCGGAAGGTAACTAAAACAATTGGCATCGTTGTTCGTTTCCGGAAGTCGTTCCAGATGAATCGATGTTGCCGATATAACCTTTTCTACCATTTGGATATCTGAAAGGTTGAGCGTTGGGGATGTGGTGCATGATGCCGAATCGTAAGATCGTTGACGTCTTTCAATCTGGTTGGCAGTCGAGAACCAGGGGACAGAATCGGTCGAAAGTAATTGCTCGATAAGCGTCAAAAGTCGAGAGATGCGTCCATGTTGAATAAAGGAAAGAGACTCAATGGATGAGGCCAGGTTGTAAAAAAAGGAGAGATTCGGGCTAATAAAAATGGGAGGATTAGGGGGCTGAATAAACAGGATTCATGAAAAAAATTTCGATTTCCCATTAGACATGAAGTTCTTGTTTAATTAATGATTACTTAATCTAGGCCGTCTCCACAACACGAAAGTATCGGTGATAGTTTCACGCTGCTGGGTCGACATAACCGCATTGCCTTTTCACGAATATTCGATTCTTATTGTGTGGGACTGTGTATCAGCCCAAATATGCACTTATGCAAAGTTTTTATCAACGAAATGTCCCCAAACGTGTTAAATTGAGAAACACGATTTTGAGCCTTAACCAGCGTAGTAACCACAAATTCGTGTATTAATGCAAAAAATTAATTCGTTCTCATGCAAACTGTCGAACATCCAAATTCATGGTTACTTAAACGAGAAAACCCATCAAGTTGAACCGCTGAGCATACTTTCCTGACGATTTCAAACCCCAGTTATTCAAACAATGACCATGTCTTTTGGGAATGTTTTAGCTTGATGATTAGCAGACAAAACCATGCATAAATCAGCTTATAAACATCTTACTTTGTCTGAAACGCTATTGTCACTATTAAGTGTCGATAAACTGCACACTTTTTGGACGGCGTATAAAATACCACACTAAAAAAGTGGATTTTTACAACTTGTGGGTTAGAATCTGTAGTGTGCGTGATTGCGTGCTTCTGTGAGAATCTACGTTAGGACAATGTACCACCATCCAGTGTCTTATTCCTGTCGTGTCGTGCGTGACTGACCGGGTCATATCAGGATATTATTCATGTATATATAGACGCACGGGAAACCGCTACATCAAGTTGCAATCTCACCTGTGATTCGCGGTAATGCCAGTTATTCTTTGCCATTTTGTCAGAGTTTGCAGGTTCTTCTGTTAAAGAGGCATTTTGTGCACCTTGTCCTTGTTTTTTTAGAAAACATGAGAAGTCTTTTCTGCATTCTGGTCCTGGTGTGGCTTGCCGCGGCTCAAGACGCTCAACAACGAAATCGCGATGCCATTCTTGAATTTCACATTGCCGCACGCGAAAAGGTCCAACCATCTGCGAGCAACATGATGATGATGGTACGCATTGTGATCCTGCTTTACTTTTTCGATGCTGACTTTGTACTTATCGCTAATTCCGATTTCAGTAGCTTTGACAGACTAGTAAAGCGGGTTTTAAGTACAAACTGCAAGGATTACTACGTTAGAGCAAATTTGCTATTGGAGATATTTGGAATTCAAAGGGGAAAAGCGTTATTTAGAAAACAACTATCATACATTATTGAAATTGAATGCCAAAACACATGAAGGGCCGCTAATAGAGGAGCTTGAAAACTGTAAAGATCATTCTGTGATTTAGAACTACTCCATGGAGATGGAACGGTTGGCGTATGAGTGGGTGAGGCGCTGTGAGTTTGAACATCCAGATAGGAACGTTCACACGCAATACAAGGGAATCGGACAAAACCTTGCAATAATGACCATAGGCTCTCCGGATTGGCTTAGGATGGCCCAGGGTTGGTACAATGAAATTAAGGACTATGACTACGCCAGTGACAGATGTCGAGGTGTTTGCGGACACTACACACAGGTCAGTTGGTCATTTCCCTTTTATCCACTGCGTCCAGCCGGTTTATAAATGACGGATGTGTATGCTACTTGCAATCAGAAGGAAACATGTCACAACACGACAAAATCTAAGCTAATTATCTACTGATTTAAAGATGATCTGGGCCAAAACCACGGAGGTTGGCTGTGCAGCCCAGCGTTGCGACTCCACGATGCCTTCATGGAACCCGCCAGTCTACCTCCTGGCCTGCCAGTACAAACCATCGTGAGTTATTTGTGTGCCTTAGAAAAACAGACAGTGGAAATGCTACATCTATATGACATTTTTATTACCGTTCTGTTTGGCAGGGGTAATTGGAATGGACAGAAGCCGTATGAAAGTGGGCGCAGTTGTAGTGGGTGTCCAGAGGGATCGGTGTGTCATCGCAACCAATGTGTGACAGGTTCTCTCGGGATCAACAATAAACCGACTCCAACCAGGCAGCCAATGAGGCCTTGGGAGCCACAAGTTACCAGGGAACCAGTACGGCCCCGAGAGCCACTTGCAACCAGGCAGCCAGTGAGGCCTAGACAGCCAGAACCACAACGCCCACGGCCGAAGTGTCTTCCCCGACGCAAAACTGGTTAAACTTTAGATTAATGTAACTCTTTGCATCAAATGCAATGCTCTGGTTATGCATAATCTCTTGGTCTTGTTCACCCTGTTGTGGTTATCGGCAAACATGCACTTTTGTATTTGCGGCACGACCTTTCCAAAGCAAGGTTATCAACCTAAGCTCCTGCAATTAAGATTTTTCGGACCTCAGCATGGGTAGGTGGTAAAATTGAATAGGCATTAATGATACGGTTAAAAAGAACAGTTGGTGTTGTGGGTTGTCGGCACGTGGGTGAGACAAGGAGTCGATTGCATCGATTGAAGTGTTCAATGATGCTGATAATATTTGGCTTAAATGTTGTGCAAACTGGCGTTCTTTTGCTTTCGTAGAATGTTACGACGACGAGCCGATGTTGTCTCTATTGGTAGTCTTCCACGTTAATGATTTCTAAATTGATTGTACGGTTTAGACGCCGGCTTGATATAATCGATATTCATAGCTTATTAAATTGATGGTAAATGTATGTACGTATTGGCAGCTAATGATAGTCAAACGATTTTTCCGATGAAATTTTAGCCTGGTGGATAACAGCTCTAGGGTGAAAAATTGGTTTAAGTAATAATGTAGTAAGGACGACAAATCGGTCTGATTGGTGTCGAGAGTCTTCCACGTCGATGGTGTACCGTGGGTCTTAGTTCATTAATGAGGATTTGGTGACCTCAAATCGACTTTATCAGCATCGGTTTGACAGGTATCCACGATATTCTACAATGATACACGTTAACTCAGGGTATTTATGATCTTGCATTATTCATAAAATTAGTGAAAGCATTCTACTTAGGTGGTAGACGTTAACACAAACTTGTCGATATATGGAGTACAGTAATCACGACGATTAGTTCGCACTACTAAGACATTATCGATTTCTGTCCAACTGATATCGATGTTCTACTACGTCAGTTGCTATTGTGTTGTTGATCGTCTGCTGTGGTTGCATTTTTAAAATGACGTATCGATGCTATTGATGTTGATAAACTTAGAAACTGATAATTCAGTATGAATTCAAATTCACACAGGTGACCCCAGATAGATTTTTACAGAAAAAATTATTAAGATGATGATGCGCATTTATCGATAAGAAAAGAGATCAAATTCACTAGAATCGTTTACACTGATATTGATAGCTTTCTGATATCGATTTTACCAATGCTGATATTCCACTACATTGGTTCTTCACTATGGATGGTTGTGGGCCCTGAATCAATACTGCTAATATTGATTCGCTTTACCCATGGTGGTTCAGTTAAATCAAAAACTGTATTGTATTGTATTTAGAATCAATGTTACCAAATCACACAAATAAAAATACCTGTCTTTGGGGTGTGCAGACCAGCAGACATTGAAGTTGATTGGCAAACAGAGTGTAAATTGGTTCCTCAATGGCAAAAGATAGACAAGATTTTTTCCACACTTAATTTGGCGAGACAAGCAAGTCCCTTGGAACATGCAAAGCTTTTCTCAGACTAAATTTCTCCTAAGAGAAAGAGAGAGGGAGAATAAGAATGCTATGCTGGTGATGGAATTCAAATTTAACTCCTTCTAGGATATGGCAGCTAACTCACGCAGGTTTGTATCGGCAGATCAGGAGGCAGATAGGTGGTTTCCATGTGGGCTTAATTTTGCCACGTTGATACGCTGCACAACCAACTTCACTTGATGTTGTCCATACCATCTGTAAGTAAGCAGACAACAAATACTCTCAAGTACAACACGAATCGAATAGGTAGTTATTATGCTTGGTTTCCTTGGTTGGTTGTTTTATATTAAAGTACTACACCGAAGGTAAGGACATTAAGGCAGAACATCGCTAGAAACAGCTATGCCACTGCCTTACGTGAGTGCAGTGGCCGCACGTTCGATTTGATTTTCTTGTGTCGAAATCGTAGTCTTCAGCCTCGTCGTACCTCCTCTGAGCCATGGCCGTCCAGTTAGGTGGGTTGGCCGTAGTAATTGCAAGGTTTTGCCGGGTGCCTTTCATTTTTTTTGACTTTGGGATTCGGGTGTTCAAAAATGCAACGCTTCACCCAATCAAGCACCAGATCCTCCATTTCCCATGTCAGGGCAAACAGATTTTGAGGTCTCTACTGGTAAAACAAGAAATGAAGCGAAATCAGCGGGGTCTATAAGTCGTAACCAGGCGTTGAAGCGATTCTTAAACTGCAACTATTACATAAAGCTTAAGTCCAACATTTAATCGCTAAACTGGTATTAAAGATGGGAAACACGAGGTGACTTAAACACAAGTTTGCGTGTCAGTTGGTGGCAGGTGGTTGAAATTTCGACGGAAAGTATTGCGGAATTTGAGGAGTTCATCATGGTTCATCTGCAGCTCGTCATTTGACAACACATGCCAGATCACAGTCAGAAAGTAGAAACGCGTTTTCATCTTGCTACAACGCAAACAAGCAGCACGGATTTACACAAATGAAGTTAAAGTTCATTGATTAGCTGGAACATACGAAGGATTTCAGACGTGTAGGCCAACTTGAGAGGATGCTGAAACTTATGACTCACAGGCTCACCGCTAATTTATTTACCTTTTATTCACTCAAAACGTCTTCCATTTAGGCAATATTAGATGTGATTACTTGATCACCGCGCCAGCCAATGTGTCGACGAGTGCCACAACTCATGGGATTGGTTATGTTGCGTCACTAGTAAACCGATTTGATCAGGAATGTTCACAGAATAGACGGATTTAAAAAATACAGTAAGAAACACTGTAGTTTCCTCGTCAAGCAGAATGCTAGCACCTGAACACTTCTCTACTCCTGGACACACGCCAAATTGTCGAAATTTCAGTTCAACAAACTCAACTAGGTTGCGAAATGAAGCTTTTTCATCAAGTGTACATTTATGTCGTCGGAATGGCGAATGCTTTTTTTCACAATTTCCATTGAGCCCTTCGTTCAATTTGACGAAACTTTCACTGATTTTGTAAGAGGAAAGCAAGCCTACTCCTTTTCGTGTGTGTAATCAGCTACACAGGCATCGTTATTATCTGATGGGTTAAAACACGTACCTATATGGATTTGTTGTGAATCGTGTTTATTCACTGCCCTTAATCCGGCCGCTCCAACTCCGACACAGGGTTCCCCTTTTCGCTGCATGTCGCCAGCCGCGCGGATCCTCAACTCCCCCCTCCTCCACAAGAATATTTATTTTGGATTATCCTCACGCCTAGGTCTCGATGTTATCGCATGTATGACTCACACATCTGAGGTATAAATACACATGCGCGAACCCCACACACGACAACACCAGCGTGGCTGAGCTCTGAAGTAAACGGTTATGTCCACGTCCTCTCTGATCTTTTCATCGCGGGTATCAGGGAAACGTAATCGGACCAAGGTTAATTCCGTGGCCCCTGCGTGGTTCAAGACCACATTCTGGGGCCCACAACAGATTCACTGATGTCATTCAGCGGTTGTATCTCAACATAGCTGACTTGCAAATTTTGCCCGCGCAGTGATGCTGCATTTAATTAGTTAACTTGGTTACCTGTGTTAACAAAATCAAGCGTTAGCTGTTGGTTTAAATTCAGCAACAATTTGTCTGATTCACTTGCTTCAAATATTCATGATTTTGTTTCCAGTAATCTCATTAATTTGCACCATTCACTTGAGTACTTCTAGATCAAAATGAAAATATTGAGTTGATTGCTGTTCAAGTATCTACTAGAGTGATTGAAGTTTGTTTTGTAGAAAACAATAAAATATCTAGTTCATAATCATAAACAACGTTAATCGCTTTCACCAAGGTTCAACTGAAATGCCCGTAACCCACGGCCACCGTATAATTGGAAATACTAGAATTTGGTGCAAAGGATATAGGATATATTGTAGATTCAATGGAATTGCACGTAAAATGTTTGGTTCCAGAAATTTTTGGAAGGCCATCAAAGGTGTTGCTGATTAGATTAAGTAGTTCTGTAAATATTTAGCAGACTTTTTGTGGTCCCAAGCATGTGGTCTTAAACCACGCCGGGGCCGCGGAATTAAACCTGGCCCGATTACGTTACCCTGATACCCGCGATGAATTGAAAGATCAGAGAGGAACTGGACACAACTGCTTACTTCAGAGCTCAGCCACGATGGTGTCGTGTGTGGATTTTTTCGTGTGTGTATTTATACCTCGGATGTGTGAGTCATACATGCGCTAACATCGAGACCTAGGTGTGAGGATAATTCAAGATAAATACCCATGTGAATGAGTGGGGAGTTGAGGATCCGCTCGGCTGGCAACATGCTGCGAAAAGGGGAACCTTGTGTCGGAGGTGAAGCGACCGGATTAAGGGGTGTGAATAAACACGATTCACAACAGATTTCTTACAAGTTATGTATAAAAGCATCGACTGCCGGCAAAAAAACACGTCTCGAGTGCAGTTACACGAATCCCTTTTACAAGGGCTTCAGTGCATTCGCTCGTGCGTTACTTGTCTGTCTAGTAGCGGTTATTGTTACAGACAAAATCCGAATGTAAGTGTACGCATTTCTGGTTATTGCCCAGAGAGATTGGTTTACCACTGGAGCCAATAAAATAGAAATGGATAGACTTTGGTTTATTTTAACTTTCTACTTCGATTTCAGTGTCTTGGTAATGCAGAATTATTTGTTCTCATTTTTGAAATTAATGATGTCACGGTAACCCGCTTAATAGACACAATCTTCGAGTGTATTTGAGCGAAATCCTTATTTAATTGAGCCGCCACATTTACAAAGCCGGGATGAACACATGACCTTGTTGTGGGCCCCTGCATGTGGTCTTGAATCACGCCGGGGCCACGGAATTAACCCTAGCCCGATTACGCTTCCCCGATACCCGCGATGAAGGAAAAGGCCGGAGACGACGTGGACACAACCGTTTACTGCCGAGCTCAACCACGTTGGTGTCGTTGTGTCGTGTGTGGTGTTGGCGCGTGTGTATTTATGCCTCGAATGTGTGTCATACATGCTCTAACATCGAGACCTAGGTGTGGGGACACTCCAAGATAAATATTTGTGCTAATGAAGGGGGAGTTGAGGATTCGAGCGGCTGGCGACATGCTGCGACAAGGGGAACCCTGTGTCGGAGGTGGAACGACCGGATTAGGGGATTGAATAAAAAGGATTCACGACAACCTCTTTAATTCAGAATGAACAGGTTAAATATGTGCTACCGGGTCAATGTCACCAATTACGTAGACAAGAGCTGCCAACGCAAGTGAGGAAGGCTCAGATTTGTGGTAACCAAATGCGGTGATGTGATGAGAGCACTTGGGAAAACATTAACGAAATCTCATTTAGACGATGATCAACTAATTTGAAAAAGAAATACTGATGATCATTTAATTCCTCTAAATGAAACCATGTAACCTACCCCACTCTCCATTCAAAATCTATTAACTGCATTGAATGCAAGTAAGCTAGTTCCATAGTAATTTCAGCAGTAAATCAAAATTTCGAGTGTTATTTTTGCAAAGCATTTCAGTGTGATTTGTTGATTTCTACGACCTACTCCTCTGTTTTAATTAATAGAAAAACGGCCTTATGTCCAACAGAGACAGACTTTGTGTTGGGGATCCACGATTCCCCAAAATTGTTTTCTGATTCTATTTACATTCATTTATTAACATTTGTTTTGTTACGCTTTTATCAAGCCAAGGTCAAACTTGACTTGAATTACTTTCGATTTCACTTCTTCTCTACACGAGCTCTGGTCTTGTTTTTGTATTAGCCTTGGAAGGTCGGTTCTAGCTTCAGCTAAGGATCTGGTACCGTTATTTGAGTGGTCTTCTCTTTTGTTACGGGCAAACGTAACACTTTGCCAATAGCATTTCCTCATTTAGTTATTTAAAATTTCTGTCTTTACACTGGCTGTCACAGTGTACTACTAAGCGGTTTGTCAGTAAACCTCAAATGTCATCATTAAGACTGAGCTCTTTGCAAAGTGTGATAGCACGTTGCAATCGATAATTCCAATGGCAGAGATCACAATTACACCCTTCACAAATATCGCGTTGCTTTCTGTTTAACTTGCGCGCGTCAAAAGTCAATGATGTGCAGGATCTAGTTCCTGTGCCTCATAGACTTATTATGGAAGCATTTAGCTCAAGAAATCGGTTATATTGCATACTTTATCCATCAAATTACTTGCTAACATTTTAATAAAAAAAACATTTAAATAAATGTCGTTGAAAACTACACTGCCTGTCACGTTGCTGATCAAAATTACCTGATTTTGAATTTTAGTGGCAGTTCTAAAATGTTATAGCACATGCTTGGAGTTGCTGACAATTTTGAACAAATTTTTTCAAGACTTTTTTCGCTCGAATGTGGTTAAGTCGCGCTTTCTAGGAAGATTTATTAATAAAAAAATCTGTTAAGTATGCTAAAGGTCCCAAGCAACAACAATTGAAGCTTAAAAACTCGCAAAAGTTCGCAAAGGTTCAATGTGTTACTTTAATAAGTACTAAGACACTCAATTACTCGATCAAATAGTGTCTTTTGTAGGTATTTAAGTTCATTTGATTATGTATACTCACGTGAACTCAGAATAAAAGAGGACTTTTGTCACATTTTTAATCACAGTCGCAATGGAAAAGTGAGTTTTCCCAAAATATAGGTTAAAAATATCTTGGCAGCACATATGTAAATATGAGCAAATATGGGTAGGTAATCAAAGGTCAATAATGTATTTTTTGTCATTCCTTCAATCACTTCTTTTGTGGAGCACACGAATAACGTAACACAATGAAAACGAAAGCATTCGTATTGAGGCCAGGTACATGAGCCCATTCTTCATGGAATTTTATTGGGTCGCAAACGATTTTTATCACAAAATATTGTAAAAGAAACCTGAGCACAAATCACAATTTACATGGACAAATATCCATTGTTGAAGATAAAAAAGAAGACGAAGGCAGTGAAGAGATGAAGCAGTCAACCGGTCGTGCGAGTCAGTAAGCCAGAACAGCAACGGCCTACACGAAACACTGAACTGCCAAAATTACGGACACCAAAGTGGCAACAGTAGACATCAGCGTGGAAACCGAGTTCTTTTCACATTGATTGCGTTTGCAGTGAGTATCCTTGGGGCAGCCCGAACAGCTTGTGCCACTTTGATACGGCTTCGCATTTCCAGGATTGCCACTTGAAAGATAAAATGCGCACACACAGGTGAATTTACTCAGAGGTGTCAGTTTGAAATTACAAGCAGGCCCTAAAGTTTTCTCTCGAATCATCATCTGCATCTGGTTAATCCATTGACTGGATTTACGCTTTACATTGCTATTCCAAATAGGCCGACTGCCAAACTCACGCGGGTTTGTACACACAGATAAAGAGAGTGTCCGCCTTTTGGCTTGGGAGAATTCCAGGACACTTGTTGGTGGCACATCCAACTTCCTTCGAGTCAGCCCACACGGCCTAAAAGAGAAGACCAATTGGGAACCAGGATCATTTACTTGAGCCCTAGTGCTGTCTCCACGCATATTTATTATTGTGCAACTACTGTAATCTTGACTTAATTGATTTGCACGTGTAATGAAAAGCTAGGTGAACGTACTTCCTTTTAAACTCGACTCAATCAATTGCTTCATTACCACGATCTTTGATACAGTGAAGTGAAGATCAATTTTGGAAGACGAAACAATACAACAATCTCACAATTAGTTTGATTGGGACTGATGACGTGATATAGAACTGTATTGAACATAACACATCACATTTACTGCAAATTTAGAGAAAGCTGGAATGCTTACCTGTATGTAGCTACTGCATGGCACTTTGCATTTATTGGTTGAATAATTGTAAAAATAGCTCTGTTGGCCGAATTTTTCAATCATCTCAGCGTACGTTTTATTCTCGGTGAAATCCGTGGTAATGCTGGTGTTTGCATATTCGACGTCTTTGCCCGCGTCAGGTTTTTCGAGGGTGCATTTATTTGCCCACTTGTCTGCCAACCCTTCCAGTTCCATTGAGTAGGCCTAGGTAATCACAGGGCATCAATCAGCAGACAGGTTAATTTCAACAATGTAGTCAATCAGTTGTGACTGACCATCATTAGCATGTTGCTGGCAGTTGGTTCGACGTTTTCACGTATCTTAGTGTGTTCCTCGGCAATAACCTTGCGGTCGTCTTCTGATGGAACTTCAGCTGCTAAACACCACGCCAGAGCCAGGAGACAGGTGATCTTCTTCAGCATACCTACAGTGTTCTAGATAAAACTGCAATAATTAAACTACTTGGAAAGCAACTGGCAGAATTAGGGGTGTTGAGAGTACTCCATGGTCGTATATATACTTCAGGAGCCCCATGCTCTGATTGGCGGAAGCCATTATGTGCTAGTCGATGCACTAACGCATGTGTTTCTTTGGTAATTTGAGTTGTTTATTATTTAGCGTGAGGCCATTTAGCCAATTTAATGCGCGTTTCACTTTTTTTTCATTTGGCAAATGGTGTGCACGAGTTTTTTAAATAAATGTTACCAGCACATGATCTTCTATCGACAAAAAAATTTAAAAAAACAAAAAACCACAGAAGTACTACGTTCAAGAAAATCCAAGAAGGAAATTTTCTTAATTCTTCTCGAAAAAGTCTAGTGACAGAAGTTGAGTAGTTTAAAAACACCGAATCCACTCGACTTCACATTATTCCACAACAATGCAACCGGTTGTTCGTGCTTCTCATGAATAGGTGCCAGGAAATCATAACAGCTCACAAGATCATCTGTGGCACATTTTTAGGTCTAATAAAGGAGCCAGTGGCGCAGCAAAATTTGGTTGATATCGTGAAATCCACTGAGTTTTTGTGAGCTGCACAAGAGACAAGCACCTTCTCAATCAGCGAAGATACAAGCCGCACATACATCGTGGTACTTGTGACATGACGCTATCCAATAACGCTTGAGCGTTCGCGGTCTCAGAAGACGTAGAGCAGTTAATTTTGGCTTGCGCTGATCCAAAATTCGCATCTACATGCAGCAAGTTCTTTGTCAAGTTATTAGCAATAAGGAGACATCGAATATCGTATGTTGGCATCAAATGAGACGATTAGGTTGACGAAAAGTAATTCATCTGCTCACTGTCGGGTCTAATTTTGTCTCTACCTGTGGCTGGGATAATTTTGCTCAAAAAATGGGAGTGTAAAAAAGTAACAATCGGTTCAATGACACGAAAGCGCCTTCTATTGTTCAATTTCACAGCCGTCTTGATGACCACAGCCTTGTTAGCAGATAAAAAAGCAGATTAGAAAGATAGATTTCGTCAGTTTTGTCACGCAGTATTTTAACTCCACTTGGTGCGAACAGTTTCCAATATACTACCGTTCAGTGGGAGCAATTGTAACGTACAAAGAAGTATCAAGCAAACATGCTTTCCGAAGCCAATTACCAAATACTCATGAGCGCTGTGTCTTGAAGAAGGACATATTATTAGAATTTGCATTTTCTGTGGGAACTTGCTAAACGTCTTCACATGTGATTTTCGATCGATTAAACGGGCTGCGGTTGTGTGTAAAAGTGGCATGTGTGAAATTGGTTTTCTTAAATTGCTACTGATACTGAAAGTGTGGAAGTGACTTATATGACGACGAAACACTTTTGATATTCGTCCTGCGATTTAATATAAATATGTATATTCGATGCCATGTTGAATTAAAAAAAAACTGCAGAATTTATTGTATCGATTGAATTTTAATGTGGCATAACCAGAAATTTACTTCACTTACAATTTTACTTTTTCCGATCGATTGAGTTTAAGAAGAAGCCTGTCTATTTATAACCAAGTCTACAATGACCATCTAAAATGCAATTTCAGAATACACAGCACTTCAAATTAGCTTGTGAAGCAATGAACCCCACTATTAGTATCAAGTTGTACTTGTGGCCTTCTTGAGAAACGTCAAAAGAACGCTCTTGACGAGAGGCACGCAACTCCAAAGACGTTGATGATTAATATTGTGGGCCTAGCAGGGCTTCAGGTATGTGGTTGGCACAGCGGTGAAATTTTGCACAGCATGGGTTGAGTTAGCATCGCTTTGAGTCGGGTGCCGCTTGATGCATGCGCTTGGCTTAGAAAAAATAATTTTTTTAGCGTCCGCACTTGGGAGACGCAAAATATGTTTTCTGAATAACATTTCAATATTGTCAATTATGAAGGCTGTGCCTTCGGCGGTCTGTCAGCATCGAATATGGTGTGCTGACATTTACTGAGACGATCAGGTTGGCGAAAAGTTGTACATTCGATCACTGTTGATGCTACATTTGTCCCCACCTACGGATCTGATGGTTTTTCTCAAAAAAACAGTAGTAATTGTCAAAGGAAAACACGATTAAATTGGATGCTGCTCATTCATGGACCTTAATTTATAATTATTACACATCTACTTCTAGACAGATAGTAGCACTGTGAAATAGACGTCTTTTATTTCACGGCGAAATGCAATATGAATCAGATCACACTGTAGTGAATCGTGTTGATTCACATCCAATAGCCCAGTTGTCGCAGCGTTCAACACATGTTCCCCCTTTTTTCGGCGTGCCAGTCAGTCACGTGAGGCTGCCTGCTCATTCACACCCACCACCAATAACCCAGTCGTTGCAGCTTCCAACACACGTGTCCCCCTTTCAGGGCGTGCCTGTCCGTCACATTAGGCGGCGGGTTCATCTACCCCTCTCCACCTACCACCACCCTCTTTAGTCATGCGACCTCACAGACGCCTGTGTTTGTTTTTACATGCCCACTCAACTGTACAAGTACACGACACAACTGGGTTCAGCTGTCTAGCAAAAAGTCGTGCCTGCCATCTGTGGATTTATTTTTTTCTTCCAGAGTTACTTCGCGTGGTAAAGGGTTTCAACAGTGTGTCTTATTACGCTTTCTATGATATCAAGGTCAACCTTCACTTGAATTAGCTTGACTTTTGACAACTCACGCGCACGTGGCTGACGTGACTAAAGCTCTCTACACGAGCTCTGGTCTTATTGTTGTATTAGTGTGGGAAGGTCGGTGCTACTGTCTACAAGTGATCTGGTACCGTTGTTTGAGTGGTTTTCCCTTTTTTACGAGCAAACGTAGCAGGTTTATAGTTGTATTTGCAATATACAAGTAGAAATGAATGACTAATATCAACAAAATGAAATTCGATGGACTAAATATCTGAATCGCAAACGCAAATAGAGATTTTCATACGACCTAAAAAATAAGTAGGCTAACACGAGAGATTTTTGAAACAGAAAAATGGTTAAGACAATAATCGAAATTTAACTTTATCCAGGTATTGAATCATATTTAGCTAATTATCCACATGCTGACAAAGAGAACTTTAGGCAAGTTTGAATGAGAGTGATCAAGTCAAAATATTTCTTTAATCTGCTCGTTTCGACTCTTGGGCATGGCGGGGTGACAGGTCCACCATATTCTGAAGAACACATTCGTCGTTGCCAAACACCCACCGACACACACGCGCACAAAATTGAACCCGCTTGAGCCTCATTCAACGGACCTGAAGAAGCCACTTGAAGTGGCACCGAAATTCTCAAGGGCACTAATGTTCCATGCCACAGGAACAATTATGGTGGATATTTAGTGCAAGGTCCGGAGATCCACATTCGATTGCAAAATAGCCCGACAAATCACATCAAGGTGCTGTATATGCTGGCCTATTCGGGAACAGTTGGATTCTGAAACCCATAAAGTCGCACTCAACTGAACGACATTTAAGCGCTCGAATATCGGCCTGCAATCATTCAGCAACTTGACATTTAGTCTGACTCAACGAACCTTTAAAATTCTCGCATTCTGATTCATTTGAATGCATAAATTTTGCCAGGTAGCATTCGCTAAATCCAACAACACACTATTGCTTTAAGGTAAAATATGTCAGCTTCGTTGGTGTACCTTCAAAGCAGTGCCTCGTAGACACAATTGCTCGTATTCCGGTATGTTCCTATTTGTTTGTATGATAGAATATGTAAATTGCTAAATCACAGGTCATATTGAATTTAAAGAACAATCAACGGGATGTGAAAATGTGTCTTACGCACGGAAGTCTTTGCTACCTTTGTAGTGGCACTACCATACAACCCTCTGGTTAACAGTCCATCACAACCCGAGGATAAGGGAAAAGGAGGCGACAGAGAACACGACCGTTTATTAGTGTTACACCAGCCAAGTGGCTTTGTGTGCGTATGAGTACGCGTGCGTAACAAAAGGGGTGAGTCATTGGTCCACTCGGGCCCTCATGCACGCATTACTCACGCGATGTGGCTGCCAGTCCAATACACCTAACTAGCCAAGACAAACTACCGATCCCCTAATTCCATTAATGAGTGAATATGTTGAGTTGAGGCACACAGGGGCCACCGCGTCGTATCTAGCCCAGTTACACCACCTTGAGTACCCGCGAAGCTAAAGAAGCTCATCCAGGTTGTGTTGTGCTGAGTGATACAGTTGTGTGGACTAGTAAAATGCAGAAGTGTGATTCGTCAGATGAACCCCGATGAGTTTGGCAACTGGTTATTTGTGGCACCAATGTGAATAGTTCTTTCATCCCCACTTTTTTCTGTTAAGTTGCCCATTCTCTTGCCATGCAAACACAAGAGAAAGCTAACCATTGAGGTCTGTAGATGAATTGACCTCCTTCGAACTATCTATCTTTGTGCCTATTCTGATTTTTAGGAGCAATAAAAAAGCCATGCATTCAAACGAAACTAACCCAGTTTTCACACTGCTGGCCACTGTTGGAACTTTGATTTCTGCGTCGCTCGCAATTCAGTTCTTTGCATTGACCAGTGTCATTTTCCGTTCAATGAGCATCAGAGACAAAATTGGCTAAATTAAAATTAGTCAACATTTAATAGAATTCTATGAGACCTCTAACATTCTCTGTTCTCCTCTATTTGATGGCCGGACATCTGTGGTTTTTTGGCGATTTAGTATAGATACGTGTTTTTGTCAAATGGCGATATTTCTACAAC